CGGCCATTGATTAACCTGCGGTGACGTTGTGATTTATGTCCCATTATGTCCCCACGGCTTCAACATTACCCGAAGTAATGGAAAGCATTTGGGAGTCCTTCGCACAGTTACTTTGCACTATAAATCACTTTTTGGACAACTAAAAACGAAAATTTCTTTCCTGCAAATGTCGTGATTCGCATTTTTTTTAATTGATTCTATAATAATAAATTCGACGTTTTGATATCTACAATGCTCTTACGTTAAAAAATTAAAACGAGATTTTAAATAACATGTACAGTATGCGCCAAAAAAAAATGCTCTCACAACTGACTTCAGTTGTCGGTTTAGTTAAATAAAGTGAATGGACGGGGGCAAATTTGATTATAACACAAATATTTTGTCCTTCTACCAAATATTTATTCGATATGATTTCCTTTAATTGCAATCATTGCATTACTGTGTCACACTCAGGAAACGTAATAGTGATTAAAAGAGAGTCGCATTTTTTTTGGCGCATACTGTATATACGTTATTATTAAATCAATAATGTCGATTATTTAATCTATCAAGCTCTTGAAATGTAGGGTATTATATGTACGATATGTATATACACATAATAATACGATTGTCGGATGTGCTGTCACATTCCGTGAGAGACACCAATGGGACAAATCGCTGCTCTATTTTCCTTTCTTGCTGATATAAATAGATCCTCCAATACATCGTGACTCGAGACTTGGCTGTTGTTTCGAGTAGTTTTATTTTTATTTTTCCCGATGCCGGTGAAAAAATATCTGACCGTCTATTTCGGTGCTTCAAGTTGGATATTGGTGAGAGTTTTCTGTGTATCAACACGCATCGAGCAAATAATACTGGCTTGTTCGGTGGCGGGATTTAATATTAATAAACTAATTGTTAATTTAATAATCATATCAAATATCAAATAAACTTTTCATATAATATAGTTAAATTAAAAAATTCCTTTAATTTATTAATTTTGAGAAATTAATATTAATTAAACACTTCAAAAAGTATCGATACTTTGACAGTTTCAAAGTATGGTTAGCATCTCTTTGAAGGCACATGTCGTCTTATCAAATCGCGACACGCTCCAGATTTATTTTACAAGAATGCCGACATTCTTGGAACGAGTAAAGACGGTAAATTCCTTCGAGCACCCGGTGCAGTCCCGGCGGTTAACTTCTTGGTGACTGACCACAATTTAAATACGAGAAAGAATACGTTCGCAATTGCGGTCATGTAACCTCGCATGGTGAAAATTACAATTTCAGAGTTTCTCTCGCATAATACAAACATGCGCACGCTTAATTGTTCTTTCATTGGCGAACGTATTATAAACGCATTATAAACGCGGGATTAATATCCTGAAATTCGGTGTCCAAATAATAATTAGAATAGATATTAAAATAGCATAGTCGACCGCAATCGTAATTCGATTAAGTCTCCTGTTTCTTTATCGGATTTTACGCACAGAATTATTCACATGGAATGAAATAATTCGAAACGAGATATATATCCCAGATAGCCAAGTCTGTAGAAAGCAGATTTTTTAAATGTCTACTACACATTATGCCAACAAAATAGCAACAGAATTGTTACAGAATTGGATGTACATAATACTGTTGATAGACTGCTAGAAAAAAACATAACAGACAATAGGCCTGTTCTTTTTGGCTGAACTTTTGCACCAGTTCATCTTTCTTCTTCTTCTTTCCTCCTGAAGAGAAAAGAAAGACGAACTGGTGCAAAAGTTCAGCTAAAAAGAACAGGCCCAATGTCGGCAGGATCTGCTCAGTTTCTGCCAAAAATTTGTCTTCGCATTATGTCGATAGGCGATGTTAACAGAACACAAGCCTAATGCAGACGCAGTTGATAGCAGACTGCCGTCATTTTCTGCTCGAATCTGCTGACAGTTTGTTTGAAGACTGTAGACATTTTGCTATCTGGGTATCGTGCGCTTGTAACATTTTCGACTTCAATATCTAGAGATACGATCGTCGTGAAGCGTTTTCCCTGTTTCATAATGGTGTATTGATAATATTTTAAAAATCAACAAAACAGTATGAATATTGTTACGAGGCACTATTTTCTTCGTAAGCAATCAATATTCAAAGATCATTTCTGCGAAGGCAACGGATAGCTGAATACACTTAGATACGTGTTGCTGCGAGCGAAAACGATATGGATATATAATCGATAATAAGTTTTGTTGACATTAAGAGTAAAACAGCCAGCGATACGACATGGCCGCCCACATCTGACATAGTGCTTGCGACTACTGTTTTAAAGGTGCCTTGAATGTATTGTTGATTCTTCGTCTGTAATCATATTTTTACTTCCTCTGCCTTCTGTTGTCTTACTGTTTTAGTAAGACTTTCACAAAATGTGGAAAAATTAAGTTACTTTTCAACATGTTTATTACATTAAATTTTATTTCGCTTTGTTTACCGCGCCGACTCCTAACGGTCCCTTTATTCATTTTGATTTTATTATTTCTATTGCATTTCCAAATAGTTTTTTTAACAGAATATTTTAGGAAGAAAACTGGATTCCTCGCTCTTTTATTTCGGAAAAATTAAGCAGTGAAATTTCACTTTTGCCAAAGAAGATCCAGATTAGATTAGATAGCAGACGGAGGATTATAAAAAGACTAATTATGTTAATATAGTTTTATTTTAATAGTAATATATAGAGATTAATAGCAATCATAAAGGCTACTCGTAGAGTGGCAAGTTTAAGGTTAAACAGTTCTCTGAGTTCCTCTACATTATGTATGTTAAGTTCAAGTCAATTTATGCGCGTTGCACTTTCACTTTATATAGTATATTATATTGATGTATGAACGGTATCTTAAGAACATTCAAGTATGAAATCATCGCGCAAGATTTGCATTACATTTATCAGTATTTGCATAAGAGTACGATGATTCATATCGTAATGTAAATATTGAAGTACTTTTTCAGATAAACGGACCATCTGCTCTTTAATCTCGTTTCATCAATTTCCTTGTTTGAATATACATTTCGTTACTTGTTTCAATACGAATTTCAATACATATCTAACTATTCTAACCTTGAATCTGAAATATAATCCATTTCACAGTATATCTTGATATTTTTTAATTCAGCATTAATTCAATATGCATTATTAATTACCATATTTTGTCTAGTATAATAAGAAAAATTGCTTTATCTAACTGACAGATTTAATTTGTGTCTATAAGAGTTTTCCTCTCAGGATATTAAAATTATATGATGATTTTTTTACCCAAATGAAGTTTTTCTAATTCTATTTTTCGAGATTATATATATATACATATATATATAATATCTTTTCTTGCAATACATGCAAATGTTATTAACAATGGAGTTTTTTGTTGATTTAATTTGCCAATTTAATTTCACATGCACACACATATACATACATGCACACATATATGCAACGAACCAACCACGAGTTTATCTGATGCGCTTCCGAGCATGACGATGAGTTGCATGACGCAATGTCCAAATTTATGATTAATCGAGCTCTCCATGCGGCTCTCATACGTGCCTCTGCATTCGCGACTTGTTTTCTACATTTTTATCTCGAAAAAAAGGCAAATATCATCTCAAGAACAGTAGTCGTTATTGACATTTCATTAATAAATTACTTAGTATATTAAGATAGATTGAATACGTTCTCATAATTTAATTTAGTAATCGTGTATTTTCTTGTTCTTTTTTCTTCTTTAATTCTCAATTGAATTCATTGTTTGTCATTTTTTATTATATAGCTTTTAATCTTTCAAATATTAACTTCTAAATTAGTAATTAAATTTAAATTCTTAAATAAATTTTATTCAAAATTAATTCAAACTTTTGTTTTGTGTCTAAATACAAAATTTTATTATATGTCTAAGTATAAATTTATGAATATACATTATGTGTATTAAAAAAATATTTCATTTATATTAAAGAATATAAATGTAAATTATTATACAATGAATATAAATGTAAATTACAGAATATAAGTATAAATTATATGCAACTGAAGAACTGGAGAAATTGTAAGTTGGCATATATACTTACATTATTTCCGTTAGATTTATTCTCAAAAATGTATCTATTTTTCATAGAAATTATACTTTCTTCAGCTAGATAAGATATCACCTATCTTCGTAATAAACCTATTTTTCATTTTTACCTCCGTGATGCGCAAACACATATACATACACACACATACACACACACACTCATCTATCTTCCTTATAATGTGATTGTTGACTGATCGTCGTTAACTGACCCGCTTCGACCCGTGAAATGCAAGGTAATCGCTTGCTTATCCGATGTTTCATCCGGATTGCTCTGTACGACAATCGAATTCGTCACCGTACAGACGATCATTAGTTTTATTACGTCTATTTGCATTTCCTTATCGATTTTTTTACGGACGAATATACATCGACTTATTAATATTTCCAAGGATACCGAGTGTTTTATCGCACACGTCGTTTCAACATTAATTGAATCGCGTGACATTTTAAAATGATTACAAGTATCATCAATCATTGCTCATCAAAAGACGCGCGCGAGATCAATTATTATTCAAATAAAATTTCTCGTAATAATCGTGTTTCCGTCACGCTTGAGGTCGATTTGTATATCGACGAGTCGACTTTTCGTAGAGAAAAGAATGATGACGCTCGTCGTACCTTTCGATTCATTCCCGAGCGTAACGACGGGATACGTGACGCAACGTGTCCGAAAGCCATGATTAATCGAGGTTCGATGCGTCTTACGTTCGCGGTCCGCTCTGCTCCGGTCCCGGCCTTCCTGTTCCTTTTTCGGAACACACGGGCCCCGCACCGGGAATCGCGAGTGCGCCGTATATGCGTGCACCGACGCATCACGCCGCACGCAAATGGCATATGAGCTCAGAGCCTCGCAGAGGCTCCGTTCACGCGTGCACGCATGTACGTACGCTGGCCGCGGAATATAATAGCGGTAATACGATGAAACTGGGGCAGTCTTGCTTTGACGCGCGTCTTAGGAGCTTCCACCTGCTGCCCGTCGAGAGTTTCAGTCACGTTTTACTCTGTGTGACCGTTCCCGAGGTTAGTGTTTCGTTAAATGACATACGAAAATATATGTATTTCTCTGTCGCCGTAAGTAGACCTCGGAGAAGAGATCTCCGAGTTCTCTTATGTTACCTTGTGTGTCTGTACCGGAATATCCGATTAGTGCTTTTCAAACGGTGTTTTGCGAAATTGAGTTGCGCATCTACTTGTTGAGTGTGTGCTCAGAATTTGCAATTTTCTACTTTACTCGCGACTGTTTTGTGTATACTTTTTTGAAGTTAATTACATTTTTCATAGTTAATAAAAATAATTATTATATTCGTTGTGATTGATTTGTCAAAATTGAATTCTCTCTATTTCTCTCATCTCTCTCTATTTAACTATTTACCTACCTATTAAAATATTTAAAGCGTATTGAAGAATCTCATTCACAAGACAACTTTCGTTTTAATTTTGGATTGTTGATTGTTATCGAGAAAGATGTTAATCCGTGCGAAAGTGATGTTAATTAATACTGCTGTGTAACCGTTCTAATGGATTAATTCCCAGCCGTAATGGACTGTAAACTAGCGAACGTATTGGGTTGCACTCAACTTGCGTGACATTACCGTGATGAGCCGAGATGTATGATGGCCCATTAAGAAGTAAAACATACTTTTCCTCTACATTGTACGCCGTCCATTTATTCGATGAAGACGATTTAAAGTACTGAACAGCATTTTTTAAATATTCGACAAGCCGCTTTTATAAGCAATCAATTAATATATTTTTTCACGTATCTCTAGAAAAATTCTGGATAAAAATTCCCGAGACAGCGTGTATATATCAATTAAATTCAATTTTCAGACAGGTATGCATTTTTCCCAATGCTGTCTATTTAAGGGAAAGCAGATCCTCGTTTTGCATCGTGTATTTTAATACTCTAATTAATTTTCTGAATATAACTAACTATAATTTATAGTGTCAGATCACGACTGTATCGATCGCGTACGTGTGCGATGCATCTGATTGATCGAATATAATTAATACGTGTCTGCATATTATTATACATTGGCGTCGATATCTCATACTATATAAATTTGCTAGATATATTAAGCGTGAGCACATTCCTCAAATACTAATTCGTATATAATTTAAATTTTTGCCTAAATTTATAACGAACAAACTTATCGATTTTTATTAAAAAAAATCGATATAATTATCTCATTATTAAAATATTTTAATATTTTATTATAAATTGGTATAATCATCATTCGTAATAATTCGAACTTATTATTGAGTTAATGAAAGTATCGGTCGTTTCAAATTATTGCAAGTGATTAATACTTGTAATTGCAAGTTTTATTTGACAATACATCGCGTTCTGTTTTGTACATAATTAATTGGAACATGATATTAATACCTATATATTACAAGGTATAAAGATATATAAGAATCAATCATTCTTGTTATATTTATTTTTATATTGCTAATTATAAATTATTTGAAATGATTGTTGACGATAAAATAAACAAACACAATAGCGATAAAATCTAGGAATCGATATTATAGCCCATCTATTGGCACGTGTGTGCTTCTATTATATAACGACTCTACGACTCTCGCAATTTGCAGACCTGTATGTATGTCTTATCGTCTGATGTCATAGTTACAATTTCACAATGACCTCAGGTCTGGTGTGGCACGTTGCCTAGTGCGGTTTCGCGTCTTTCGTGGTTTCATTCAAGAAACATGATATCTCACTGGCACTGGTGGTACGGGGCATTCTATACGATCGATTTACAGATATTGTCACCGATTTATCACCCTTTTTGTCATACTTTACGTGATTCTCGAGCTTTATTCTTAATACATATCAATTTTATTCAAAATATTTGTACTAAGCATAACTTTAATTTTTTTATCTATCCTTTTAAGTTTTATTAAAAATTAAAAACGACGATACGTTAAAAGATCTCCGTAATTTTTGATTGTTGGAAAAGAATACTCTTCATTGAAGAGCCCTAAAATGGCCACTGCGAGAATGATTTTTACCACTATGTATGGTTTTACGATCTGCGATATATATATATATATACCTTTATTGCGATATATATACCTTATCATGCTATATTCGGAGAAATCGTTCTTCAAGAACCGTTCGGGCCACGTGCAACTTCGATTCGTTATGCGGCGATGGCGTACGCCAATTGCGATACCGCGACATAGATTGCACTTGAGAGCCTCTGTCCGGTATTTAGTCTGCGAGATGATAATTACCGACAAGCGTAATTGCCATGATTCGCGTGCTCTCGTTAGGTGTATGGTGGAATTACTGTGCTTCATGAATCTCTGCCAGCTCTAGATGTCACGATATAACCTGCTCTTCGGCGCTACTCTCACGCATGAATAATTCAATGTGATCGAGAGCATCAATATAACAACATTATAATAGAACAGCAGCGTTTATAAATCCTGATTTATGATTCTGATTTTTATTAGTTAAAAAATTTACTTATTTTTAGTTATTATTATTAAAAACAATAAAAAATCTGGCTTTTTATATTTTACAATAGAATATTTTCATTATTGATATCATTATTGTCAAATTAATCTTTAAACTCTTTGGAGTGGAATCTCACTCTAAAGGGAAGCTCAATTTTCAATCCTTAAGAGTGAGATTCACTTTAAAAGTTTTAGAGAGTATAACTGTATCTATGACATCCAATATATATATTATTATTTAAATAATTTTTTATTAGCAATAATCTTATATTTTTAATCCTGCACACAACAAATGCTATATTAACTAATCCAATATTCTTATTTTCCTTCTCGCGAAGTAATTTCGCGATAACACTCCAAACTAAATGTCTTATCTTATCTGTAATTGATTATTAGACATGGCCATGAAAATACTTTATTATTGTACTCGTCTATAATCTTTTCCGCAAGTTCGACATGAAATACGCTTGACCATTCGAATAACCGGTTTATCCATCGGCTGATCCATCGAGTTGACTGCGATATACGCCCCTGAAAATTCGAAAGTTGGTCAGACCGATTTCCATGCATATAAATAAATACGCATGCTCTTGCTGCCGGTGATCACAAACCGGCACCGGCGACGAAAAGCGCCGAAAGGAATAATCGATGTTGGGCCGATTGACGTGGTCGATCGCTAATTCATTGAGAAAGATTTAACCGCAGCGCGTACGTATAGAGGGATACGTTAATACGATACAAGAGCGCGGAGATTAATGAGTATGTAAATGCGTCCGGGACGAAAAAGATTCATCGAATAAAGTATATAGTACGTGATTGCCAATACGTCGCAGAATAGTGTTAAGTAAAACACGAGAATACTCGAAATGTGGTTCGCAAACGCGTCGATATTCAAGGAATACATCAAATTTTTATATTTTTCCAATAATGTTCTCTCACTTTCTATCAAGTACATGTGTTTCCGAAGATAATTCATATTGGATACGACAATTTAATTTAATTGAACATTGAAATAATAGAAAATAGATATGCACGATATTTCTATATTTATTAGAGCACTTATAATTAGATCATTTTTTGCACCTTCTTCATATCTTCATTATATATTCTACAAATAATTAAGTCTTGAATTAAATTTTTGAAAAAGTACAGTCCACTTGAATATAAATGAATTTATTAAAACTTTATTGAAATTGCACATTCTGCATAATCTTTTAATTTTAATTGCTTACAAATTGCCTTGATAAATGATTTAGAAAAGGCATCTAGGTATATTACAGTCCATATTACAGTCGGAATTGTAATTAAAATTTTATTTATAGTTTAGAAGCATTTGGAAAGATCCTATATTTTGGAAGCTAGCAAAAGTGTTCATTTATCTAAATTGATGCATTTTTGTTTTTGTTTTTTTTTAATCAGATATGAAAATATGTGCTTCTGCTAGTAAAAGTTTATATTTCATTGCTTGTGAATACATTTACTTATCAAATTGGTATGTGCATATATTGACTATAGTAAATGTATATATTTACTTTACAAATTAGTTCGTTAAACCTTGCTCTATTTGCAAAATTTAACAAATATAAAAAAATGTCTGTATGAGTTTCCGCAGTTAGTGCGTAAATAATATATTTCTGAAGCGATAAGATTAATATTCGCAAACAATATTAAATTGAAATGTATCACGAAGTTAACTTACTTCGTTGGTAAATACATTTCAATTGTTTGCGAATTATATCTTATCGCGGAAACAACCGCGGAGGTGTTCATATAGACATTTTACTTACACTTATTTATTCTTGGAGTCACAAAACTATTTTTACTGTATATTTAAGTAAGTGTAATACGTACATACAGTATATGGAGAGAATTTTTTCTTAGAATTTACCCTGAAAATATGGTAGTCCTGGGACAGCGTTGTATTTCGAAGAATTTTATGTAAATTTCTCTCATTTATTAATAAAAGTATAATAAAATATAAAATAAGTTTGATTAATTTTATCGAAGTGCATGATAAAAATTGAAAATCTTTAAAATATTGTATTGTATCACAGCTATCATATTTTCAGGGTAAATTAAAAAAAAATTCTCTCCGTGTGTACAAATCTGCTTCTGTGAGAATCCCCTTGTAATTATGATAATTACTATTACCGAGTATTTCTCGCGAGTCAAGTCTAAAGATCGCACGAGAAGGGAAAGTCCCTTAACGCAAAGTGTATCTTGTCAATGCAAACCACATCAGCGAGCACGGTATAGTAATTTGAGTTTACAAAGCAAGCGAATTTAATCGGGGTGTCCGCCCACGCGTCGACAATGGGACTCGTAACTCTCGGCGGGTGAAGGACGCCGTTCTTTCCCATTTGATGGGATTACCGGTCGACAGAACGGAACCGCTTCACGGAGCATTTGACAATGGCGAGTCAAGCATTTGCCGTGACCGTGGACGGCGCCTCGAAGGGACCAGGGATTAAGAGGAATGCTATCATTGTTCACTCACGACACCGAAGCCCTAGACACATGGCTACCGTAAAGGGGGAATATTTTTATCCGTA